TCCATGTGTTTTGGCGTTTCCTTTTAAAGGGCCCAAGGGAATCTCTGGGTTCCGAGGGTAAGGTTGACCCCATATTCATCAACCCCAGTTTAATAGGGGTGTGTGGGGGCTCCAAAAGTGGTCTGATTCCCCACTAAAGCCAGGTTGACACCTATCGATCAAGCAGCGGGATTGATGCTACGGGGTCAACACTACCCTCCCCTCAATTTTGCAGCCAGAAGCCCGGGGGTTTTTTGTTGGTCCCGCCGCGCGGGCCCGAAAACTCCGTGCCAAGCCACGCACAGCTCGCGCCAGCCGGGCGAGACGCAGGATCCGGACCTATCCCAGTCCCGGGCTGGCTGTCGCTGGCCTACACCGTCCGACCCAAACGCTTTGGTAGTAAAAGACGTGGTCTTTGGTTGAAGCCCCCTAGAAAAAGATGCGAACAAAACCAAGAAAAAGCATACTAATAACATGCCAGCAACAGTGACTGTTTGCCAACAACAGTGTGTCTTGCTCTATTTGTTATTCATTGATTATTCGTTTTTAGATATGATTTTGCTGTATTCCCGAAAGCATTGCGAAGGGTTCTTCCGGTAAAGTCGGTGCGTGCTGCACAGCTCAACTGCATAGGAAAAGTAGACAGTGAAATGCATAGAGGCATGCATTGATTTATGTTTAGTTATGTTAGCACTATTATTTATTGATTTATTATGTTTAGTCTTATTTTTTGATTTTATGTTATTGTATAATTATGTATTTATTCATTTTTAGTTTATGTTGTTTAATTTATTTATTTATTTATTTATTTATTTTTTGGGGGGGGGGTGGATGGGCTTCATTCATCGCTATGTTCAATGTGGTGTTTTCGGGGGTTTGGATGTTGATCCCAAAGGGGTGCTTGATGGGGGCACAAGACATCTTTGCGTTGATAACCTGTGGGTTTCCCCAAGTTTGGGATGTGTGTGAGCTTTGCAATTGAAGGCTCCTTGTCCCGAACTTGGCCATGAAAGTGAACAGTTTGAGGGTGCTCAGCAAAAACCAGTTTTGCGGATGTCGCTTTTCACGCACGAAGTAGATGACATGCCGCAGGCACCCAAAGCATACGCTATTGCACCTTGACCAGGATATGTTGCTAAAGCATGTTCTGTGAGCTCATGTTGACCCTCATCTCGCCATAATGTGTGAGGAAGGGTGGCAGGTGGGTGCGGCATGCTTCGCTTTGCACACATCTCTTCCTGCCAGAATTTCGAAAAACTGCCAAATTGTCCGAGGGGTGCAATCATTTTCAGACACCCCGCGGCCGCTTCAAAAAGGAAGACCAACCATTTGGTTGGGTTCCAACTACTTCAAGGCAACCATTTGGAGGAATTCCAACTGGTTTAAGTCCCACCCCCATTCCACCGCTGTTGCTGTTCTTCCCGGTCAAACCGCAACAGTCGTCATTTTGCTGAGACACTCGCCCCACTGGTATCCCCAACAACCCTTCAGAACTTCAGGAGCCGCTCTCAACCACTCCAAAGGGAGCCTATCTGGACAGGAAAGACGAAACCTGAGGCTCCCCACCAGCATGATCTGAGTCCTGGACAACTTCCAGCTGAGACGACTTCTGAGTGTTGATCCCGGAGTCAAGTAGAGCCAACGGTGAACTCATGCAGTGGGGCGACTCCCCAAGTGATGCTCCCCGGATTGAAATCGTGCCCAAACAGGGCTCCTTTTCGGTTTTCACGCATCCTCTCAAACATCCTACGATCAAAAGGAAACTCACATAACCCTTTTCTAACCTACTGTCTCTTTGCTGGGACCAAAACTCAAAGTCTCCCGCTGCCGTTGCCCGTAGTTCTCGCTGCTTTTTGAGGCTTCAGAGTCTGTTTTGCCTGGCCTGGGTGGCTTGGCCAGAAAAGGTCAAGAAACTTGTGGCTTACCAAATGTGGCCTGCTGAGTGGCCAGAAAAGGTCGAAACCTGTTGCTTACCACTCAAATGGTCCAAACCCAAAAAGTTGAAGGTCCAGAAGCTCAGGGCGTGAGGTTTCCCTGTGCATATACAGCAAAACTCACAACCCGAACGCTATTGGCAGCAACAAACCACTGGCTCTTTTTTCCAGCCCCCTGAGCGGAACCAAAAAAAGCAAACGAGTTTGCCAAAAAACAATGAAGATAATATAGTCATTGTAGTATGCGGTGTACATAGTCCTTGTAATCCCCAATGGGTTATATGTCGGGGAAGCCCCACTGAGAGAAGGCTTCTGAACTGGCCCCTGCTTCCCCTCCCTCCCCTCACCTTCTTCTTGTGCCGGGCAAGCTAGTAAGTTGTTGGCAACCGAGGCAACAAGTTAGAAGTGTTTTTGCTTCTTCTTTTTCCGCCCCAGCTGACCACCTATTAAATTGGCCGGGGGTAAGTGCTTTCTTCTTGCTCCAGTACCTTACGACCTATCAATCCTGACCCAACATCCGCAAAAAAAACACCGAAGCGTTCGGTCAGGATCTCGCTGGCACTGGAGATTTGCTTCAGGCAGATGTCCAACACGCTGGAGACGATGAGAAAAAGGTCGAACTTCACCCAGTTGCTCCTTCCGAAAACGGAAACGCGTTCCACTGACCCAACCAACACGAAATGAACGCAACAAACGCATGCACAACTATTTAGTTGGTCCCTCAAGTAAGGGAAAAGACAAAACGAGCCCTCACTGTGCGGTTTGGAGCCCGGCTTGGATTTAAGTCGACGCCCCTGGGAGCATTGAATCGCCGGGCTCCAAACTTGCTGGATTAAGGGGAAGCTCGGAGAACGGCGAGGGAGGGAGGGAGGGAGGGAGGGAGGGAGGGAGGGAGGGAGGGAGGGAGGGAGGGAGGGAGGGAGGGAGGGAGGAGGAGGGAGGGAGGGAGGGAGGGAGGGAGGGAGGGAGGGAGGGAGGGAGGGAGGGAGGGAGGGAGGGAGGGAGGGAGGGAGGGAGGGAGGGAGGGAGGGAGGAGGGAGGGAGGGAGGGAGGGAGGGAGGGAGGAGGAGGGAGGGAGGGAGGGAGGGAGGGAGGGAGAGGGAGGGAGGGAGGGAGGGAGGGAGGGAGGAGGGAGGGAGGGAGGGAGGGAGGGAGGGAGAGGAGAGGAGAGGGAGAGGAGGAGAGGGAGAGGGAGAGGGAGAGGGAGAGGGAGAGGGAGAGGGAGAGGGAGAGGGAGAGGGAGAGGGAGAGGGAGAGGGAGAGGGAGAGGGAGAGGGAGAGGGAGAGAGGGAGAGGGAGAGGGAGAGGGAGAGGGAGAGGGAGAGGGAGAGGGAGAGGGAGAGGGAGAGGAGAGGGAGAGGGAGAGGGAGAGGAGAGGAGAGGAGGGAGAGGGAGAGGGAGAGGGAGAGGGAGAGGGAGAGGGAGAGGGAGAGGGAGAGGGAGAGGGAGGGAGGGAGGGAGGGAGGGAGGGAGGGAGGGGGAGGCACCATTCTGTGAACACATCGAACGAGGAGTCTCCGGTGAGAGTGACTGTCCATCATTAGAATCAATGCCGTTTCTCCGCGTGATGAGAGTCATCCAGCAAAAGGTCTCGTTCCAGCCAAGGTTTCGCTGGCGTCTTGGTTTGGAGGTTTCTTGAAGGGTCGAAAGGGACATCCACAGCTTTGGGGCTACTCAAGCCCGTTTGGATTGCCCAAAACATGTCTGAACTTCTCAATCTCCAAAATGTCCGGACCCAAAAAGGAAAAAGTTCGAAACGGAACTCAGGGAGTGGTGGGTTTACAGGAAAATCAAGAGGAAAACGCAAGACAGAGGGCCAGGAAGCGAGGCTCCCAATCTCCAAAAAAGACTCGCCCATTCACAGCCAGACGTTCTTTGTCAAATCCACAGCCCATTCGCCTCAGCACCTGCATGCCGTAGGTATAAAATCGGAGTCCAAACTCCGCCACGTAGATGAAGAAGAAGACGTAGTCCACGTACTGCGGACATGGGGTAAGCCTACCTTCTATGTTATTCAATCAGGTGTTTGGCGCCCACATCTGGAACAATATGTTCTGAGTCTGATTCAAATTTTGTCAACCTGAAAACGTGTACTATGTTCTGAGAAGACCCTAGGTATGTATATGGTTACTGTCGAGTGGATTTTGCGCCCAAGGTTCCAAGTATCTACTTGCTGAGAAAAAAAGTCTCATGCATGGATATACTTTCTGCCCCTTGACCTTTGTCAAGCCATGGTTTCAACACCTATTGCTTAAACTGCCTCCGTGTGTTTTCCGTTTACTTGGACATCTGGCAACTCCAAAAATAAATGTTCTGATTCTGCGTCACATTCAAGACCCCAGCTTAAAGAAGACGAGGGGGGGTTCGAACATATTTTGCCCAAACCCTGCTGCGTGACAAATGGGTTTGTCCACAAAATAAGGTTCAGTTGCTTTGGTTTCCCTTTGAAACAAACGCAGGGCCGCAATCAACAAAGGACGCACACAAATGAATACAATCCATTTCCTTTTTATCAATGGAGAACGGGCTGCGCATGCTAGATTCTGCACCAAGAGTTTGCCGCTTAACCAAATTCCTAGCCCAGCTTCTTAAAAGGCTACAATATGAATGACAAACTGGGAAGCACCTGCAATTCCAGGGCATGTGCACTCCCCCCCCCCCCATATCCCCCCATATCGTCATGCGCTTCACAAGCCACACCAAAGCAGTGGCAAGAGCTCCCATTTCTGCAATGACATGCGCGGCTTTCCTCGCACCCATTTTCCCCCTTCAAAGCCACAAAAACAACTGGACTTCGGTTCTCCCTGTGGTTTCCCCTAAAAAAAACAAAAAACGGGCTCCTGTTGCCTCATCTTGGAGGGGTTCTCTTTTTTTTGGAGGCTCCAAAATCGGACAAACCACGAACTTTGGCTTTCCCTTTGGTTTCCAAAATTGAGAACCACGAAAAAATGCATTACGCACCTTCTGCAACTCAAAGCAAGAAATAGACCCCCAACAACATTAACACATGTTTTTTCGCTCCAACTACGCCCCAAGCTTTCAGCTGCTTGCAGCCACCCTCCCAAAAAAAAAGGTTTTCGCTCCGACGCCCAAAGCTTTCGGCTACAGCTTGCGGCCTGCAGCCACTCGGGCATGGGGCTGCAGCCGGGATCCTCACAGCTGCACCGCTCGTCGCAGCCCCAGGGGATCTTCGTGCTCACCTGCGCCTCCTCAGAAACCCGCGGGGAAAAAACCGAAAACGGCGGCTCCGAGGTAAAAGAGACCCATGGCTCTCGGTGTGTCGTTTCTTTTTGTTTTTGTTTTTCTGCGTCTTTTTCTTTCGGGGACTCTGCAAAATGGGTTTCGAAAGGGGGTGTGGGGGGATTCTCGCAAACAAAATTAGAGGACCCCCTGACCCCCGCGTAAAAGCAAAAAAAGCGGCTTTCCGAGGGAAAGGAGACATGGATCTGGAAGAGAGACATGGATCGGGGTGTGTCGTTTGTTTTAGGGGAATTTGCGAAATGCTGCGTTTAACAAGGGGTTTGTCAAATGGGGTTTGTGTCAAAACAAACTTGGGCGGGTTGCTTTTGTTGTTTCTGTGAAGGTGGTTGAATGGCCAACATGTATCCCTAGCAAGAATGTGCCGGAAATCGACAGATCTGGCTACGAATCTCAAAGGGGACCGGATTAAATGATGTCCACCAAAAGGTCCCCCGATAAAACTCACATGTGAGGCACGGTCGAAATTACTTACATACGGCCGTTTCGCCACTATCGTTTTCCAGCGTTTCCATTCTTTTCCAGGGGTATCGTTTTTTGAAAGTCCCCTAGCGTTTGCCATCGTTTTGTGCATTTTCACAATATCAATGAAACACCGAATACCAAACTCAACAGAAGTAATTCTGACGGTACTTCATGTGGGGCTTGTGTCAAAACAAAAAAAGTCTGGTGGTTTCCTTGTGGTGGTCCTAAGGTGGTTGAATGGCCAAAATGTATCCTAGCACGAATGTGCCGGAAGTAAATCGAATATGCTGCCCAGCGACGTAGCCGATGGTCCCCGCATTCACCGAGATGATGAAGCCGATGAAGGAGTCGAAGACCGGCGAGGAGATCCAGCGGTGCACGGTCTGGCGTGGCCCCTCCAACCTGAGAAACCGCATCCTTTTGGCGGGGGCGCTCCCTACTGGGGCCTACAAAAACAACTCAGATGCCCAGTGGATTTCCATGGGAGAAAAAGGGCATCCCTTTTTTGGTTGGTCGACTTTGAATGGGAACCCTTTCCCAAAAAAAGGAAGAAAAAAAGACAGCACTGGACAACTGGGACAAACACGAAAAACAGGCTTACTTCAAACGAATAACTTTGCCGAGCACCCAAGTAGGGTGAACTTCCTCATTCTTTCCAGGGATATTTTTTGGAGTGGGTCATAGGTTACCAACAACTTACGAACGCGAATCGAGCACCAAACATGGACAAGTGATAGTCTATGCTTGATTTGGGAGGACGCTTTTCGGGGTTCAGTTTCCCTCGGTTCCCAACCAGGGATACCCAAATGAACCGGAACCATTAGTAAGTAATATTGTGCCCAAAACTTCAACTGTGTGGTCTTCCTGTTGGTTTCCATTTCGAGCCACCCAAAACTGGTACCCGCAGAAAAGACAAACACATCTTACCACTCAGTTGCCCAGTTCGGACCCAGAATCAACGCTTATCACCTTTTGGGCCTTAATATGGACCAAATCAGAGAAACCAAAAGGTTAAAACGGTCGGCTTTGGGAGGTCCAAAGTTTGCGACGCAAACAGATCCAAACTTCCTCCTGAAACATCACAGGCAACTCACTCTTCAAACCTTGTTGCAGGGGCGAAAAAAAAACGATTCGAACAATTCTGGAAAATTGCATTTCTAATTTGTTTAAACATCAACAAATAAAAAAATAAATAAACAATAAACAAAAATGGAATACAGAAAAAACATGCCTTTTGTTGGTGAGAGGAAGGATATAATACATGCGGCTGAAAGGGCTTCGGACATCCCCAGGTCCAAACACCAAAATCCACCCTTGCCGGGCACCCTCTGTCCTTTGATTGGTCGGGTTAATTCCCACAAGAGATGCTCACTGCGCAATAATCACAGTTGGGGCAACTTGAGAACCCTTTTCAGGCACGATCGTGGGAGAACACTCTATGAGTTGCTGCGCAGACTCTTGCTTTGCGCTCTTTTTTTTTGGATTTCAAGATGGCGGCTATTAATCATCGCAAAACCATCCCAAGCTGGTTCGGATACAAGCCTGAAAACGGTGGCATTCCCCCCCTGGCCCTCGCCGCCTGGAGGGGTCCATCCCAATGCTCTTGGCCACCTCCGCGGCTTTGGAGCCCATGTTCCCCAGCTTCTCCTTGCACCGACCGACTCAGCTCGCTACCGCTACTTCTACTGCTGTTACTTCTATGGCGACGATGAACGACGAACGAACGAACGAACGAAGACGACGACGACGACGACGACGGCTGCTGCTGCTGCTGCTGCTACCTACGGCCTACTACCTACGGCTACCACCACGACCACCACCACCACCACCACCACCACCACCGCGACTACTACTACTACTATACTACTAATCAAAGGAAATTTAGAAGGAACTTCCGTGTTACGGCAACTAATTGAAAGCTAGCTCTCTCTGAGACAGATGAAGAGAAGAAATAAGCGCGTGAGAAAATATGTGCGCGCGTGTGTATAGAAAGCTGCAAAAAGTTGGTGCCGAAGGCTAGCCTGTTCGCGGCGCCTGGTCGGAGCGCGTTCGGACCACGTTCGGACCGCATTCGGAGCGCGTTCGGGGCCCACTGGCACGGGTTTGAATTGCGTGGCAGGCGCAGCACTTTCGCAAGGTCAGGTTCAGATTTCGTGGCAGGTGCAGCACTTTCGCAAGGTCAAGTTTTCCCAAGGTTTGAATGGCGTGGCAGGCGCAGCACTTTCGAAACGTCAGGTACAGATTTCGTGGCAGGCGCAGCACTTTCGCAAGGTCAAGTTTTCGCAAGGATTGATTTGCGTGGCAGGCGCAGCACTTTCGAAAGGTCAGGTACAGATTTCGTGGCAGGCGCAGCACTTTCGCAAGGTCAAGTACAGGTCACGTGGCAGGCGCAGCACTTTCGCAAGGTCAAGTACAGATTTCGTGGCAGGCGCAGCACTTTCGCAAGGTCAAGTACAGATTTCGTGGCAGGCGCAGCACTTTCGCAAGTTTAGGCACAGGTAGATAGAGAAATAGATTAGAAAGAAAGTAGATAGTTAGAGAGATAGACAGGTAGATAGAGAGATAGAAAAGAGATAGATAGATAGATAGATAGATAGATAGATAGATAGAGAAATAGATAGACAAACAGATAGATAGATAGATAGATAGATACGCGAGAGATAGATAGATAGATAGATAGATAGAAAGATAGATAGATAGATAAATAGATTAGATTAGATAGATAGATAGATAGATAGATAGATAGATAAGATAGATAAATAAGATAGATGGAGAGAAAGAGAGATGGATAGATAGATAAATAGATAGACAGACAGACAGGTAGACAGACAGATAGATAAACAGATATATAGATAGATAGATAGATAGATAGAGATGTAGATAGTTAGATAGAGAGATAGATAGATAGATAGATAGACAGACAGACCGACAGATAGATAGATAGAGATATGGAGAGATAGATAGACAGACAGACCGACAAATAGATGGATAGATAGAGAGATGGAGAGATAGATAGATAGATAGATAGATGCATAGATAGTTAGATAGATAGACAGATACATAGATACATAGATAAACAGATAAATGGAGAGATGGAGAGACAGATAGATACACGCGAGATAGATAGATAGATAGATAGATAGATAGATAGATAGATAGATAGATAGATAGATAGATAGATAGATAGATAGAATTAGATAGATAGACAGATAGATAAATAGAGATAGATAGATGGAGGGATAGTCAGATAGTCAGATAAAGAGAGATAGATCGATAGATAGATAAAGAAATAGAGAGATAGATAGATAGATAAGATAGATGGAGAGAGAGAGAGAGAGAGAGAGAGAGAGAGAGAGAGAGAGAGAGAGAGAGGACAGATAGGTAGACAGATAGATAGATAGAAAGATAGAGAGATAAAGAGATAGAGAGACAGAGAGATAGAGATATAGAGATGTAATCAAATCGGTAGATAGATAGATAGATAGATAGACGGACAGATAGATAGACACATAGATAGATAGAGAGATAGAGAGATAAAGAGATAGAGAGACAAAGAGATAGAGATATAGAGATGTAATCAAATCGGTAGATAGATAGAAAGAGAGAGAGATAGATTGATAGATAGATAGACAGGCGACAGACAGACAGACAGCTAAATACATAGATAAATAGACAGATAGATAGATGGATAGATAGATCAAAAGACAGATAGAAAAACAGACAGAGAGGGAGAGAGAGAGAGAG